TATTCGCAATGCGTCAAGGAAGTTATGTTTCAGGAGTTTGTGTCTCAGTTTAATAGAGGAGGCTTCTATTTTCTTGCTGGTGGCCAGGGATAATGAGCGGGTAACTGAGGTGTCTAGAGCGTGGTCTAGGAGGAAATTCATGTCACCACCTATTACTACTTCACCGAACTTGTGTAAGGTTGCCAAGGCTAGGACCTTTTCTAAGAAAACATGTTGCTTGTTGTGTGGGCCATAAATGTTTATGAAAGTGTATGGTTAATGATTAATGTAGCATTGCAATACCAAATATCTAGCCTCCTTATCCCCCGTCTTCTTAACCAGGGAGAAAGACACACTACTACTTACTAGTACTGACACACCTCTTTTTTTGGTCTTAAAACAGGAATGAAAGTCATGCACATAAAGTTTTGAGTTGAATCTCGGCCTCTTGCCCCATTTAAAGTGTGTTTCTTGACAGTGGGCATTGAGAGTTTTAGCCTCAGCCAAGGCTAAGCAGCATTTGTGGGGCGAATTCAAGCCCTCAACATTCATGGAAAAAATGTTTAGGGCCATATAAGCGTTGTGGAGGATCTTATATTATACCTTATATGCTGGTAAGGGGTAAGGCAGCGGGACCGAGTATGTCCCTGAGTGGGTTCGCTAACTACTAAAGGTATTGAAGGTGCCTGTAAGATAAGGCGTAATGCGGTAAATGTAATACTTTTTCATTTGTGGTTTGGAGCAGGTTGAAAGCCTTCCATTCTAATGATAGTGCTCTTAGAGTTGCGCCTGTTCTTGTGAGGCGATTTCATTTGATTAGGCTGTTGGGGGTTAGTGCAGCTAGCTGTCTGTCGACTAATTCCCCACACCTTTCCGCACATCATACCCACACTCCATCCCAGAAAGCAGTACATTTTCAAGGTGCTTCGTGCCCCAACAAGAGTACATATTTTAATTCAATATGATCTAATACTGAGGGGTACCAAACATGTTGTGTATAAGTTACCGTGTCACTTGTGTGGTGAGACACGTTGTTCTTGGGCTCATTAGGCCCATAGATTGACTCAGTAGGAGGGTAGGGAAGGAAATTTAAAGAGAAAACCATAACTATGTACAGATGTCCGTCAAGTGTTGTGCAACTTCGCACAGACGTTTTAAGCATAGCTCCTATGAGCCTGTGTAGGATGGAACCTCCCGTGAGAGATAATAATGCCCCTCATAGTGAAGCTAAGACTAGTGGGCCTTAGTGGTCGTTAACATGTACTCACATCCCTGGCCAGCGTGGCAATTTCCGCCTGCACGGAGGACTGTGAGTTGAGCAGCATCTTCTGTACTGAGGAGTCTGTCACTGGAGCTTGAGTGGGTGTAGATATACACATGCTGTCACTGCGGTCTAAACAGGATGCAGGCGATCTTGGGTGGTCTGCGCCATTTTGGGATCCCGGGGATGACAGCGCCGAGATCTTTAGTGTGGCTTTCTGCTTTGTTTTTTTTTAAGATTTCTGTGCCATGGTGTGCTGGGACCCTTGCTGCCCCGGAATTTTGTTGTTTGCAGGCTGACACACGCTATCAATATCGCTGTGTTACGGTCTCTCACGAGGAGCAAGCAGCTCACGCGTCCATCTTGGTGAGCTGCTGAGCAACGTCCTCCCCCATATTACTTTTTAACCTCCCTATGACACCACCTGCCAGGTGGGGTCCTATCTACTAAACTTTAAATACTAGTAAGTGGGCAGCCATGGCTGCCCAGTCACTTGAAAGGTAGCTTGTAAAATAATGTGGGGGGCTGGGGGGAGTCTCCCTCATCAGGTGGCTAATTTATATTAAAAAATGGGTCGGTGGACAGATCATTTCGCTGCCAGCATGCAAATAGTACTTAGAATTATACACACAAAAAATAATATAATGCTGGCACTCACTGGGCATCCTGGTGCTGGTATTGAGGTACACCCACCAAAACTACCTAAAAATATATATTGTTTATATATTTTATTTTTATTTTGTATAATTTATACTTAGAATTATAGTTTGCATGCAAAAAGCAGATGAATATAAATTTGTGAAAGTGCGTCCTACTGTATGCATTCAGTCACAATTTTTCTTAAAGCCAGTGCTTTATAAATCTTCCAAATGGTATAGTTTGTGTGTGAAAACAATCATTCTAATTCTAATGCATCTGGGCGACAGCTGCAGATCCGGTCTTACCAACCTAATTCTGATTGAATTCAGCTTTAGTAACTAAGACAATTTTCATTTGTTATAATTTGTCACTTTTCACCTGATTTTGTCCATCTGGACAATATTCAGTGTTTTTGTGATTAACCTTGTGAATGTGTTAGGACATTTTTTTTGTAAGGACAATTTTTTCATTTGCATCGGTTCTACCTGACACAGAATGGCCATATTTCCTGATATTCTAATGTCCTATCTGAAACCCCAGATCTTCTCCTAAATCAT